TCTACATTTCTTCATCCCCGTCTCTTTGCCTCCCGGATTAAATGTGTGTCGGTTGTGCCTGTGGACGAAAGGGTTGCCTCGGCACAACCTACGGTGGCCTACGGTGATGTCAGTCTGAGTGATGGGAGGGGTGTGTGTGTGTGTGTGTTTGTGTTTGTACATGTGTGTATGTGTGTCGTGTGTGTGTGTGTGTTTGTGTGTCGTGTGTGTTTATACGTATGTATGTGTGTGTCGTGTGTGTGTCGTAGGTATGTGTGTGTGTGTCGTGTATGTGTGTGTTTGTACGTGTGTGTGTGTGTGTGTACGTGATTGTGTGTGTGTGATGGAGCAGGAGGATGGCGGGCCTCACCCTCGGCAGAGTTCAACATCATCTCTTGCAGGTCACGTGCAGCGCTGCTTTAGTAGGCCACCGTTATGTAACACTGGCACAGCCGAGTCAGTATCTATCTATCTGTGTGTGTGTGTGTGTGTGTGTGTGTGTGTGCTTCTATAAATACATGCAGCGTTTGCACCACCAATGAGTGCGACCCTGAATGTGCACTGGAGAGAAGCAGAGAGTCATCATGCGATGTGTGGGCGTGGTGAAGGCGAGGTCTCCCACCACAGATATCAATAGCACCGCATCCCAGCTAACGGAGAGCGAGCTGCGCTGACAGGGAGGCCAGCGAGGGACACGTGCTAACGTTACTTGTGTGTGTGTGGGGGGGGGGTATATTTGCAGAATATTGTTGGTTCTTGACTGTAAACACAGAACTCCTTCAGCTCAAACCTGCGTGGTTCAAAGCTCTGTGTGATGACTTTTAAATGAACAAAGAAAAAGAGACAAGGGTTGTAGTTTTTGTTTGTTTGTCTTTTACAGACAATGGATTAGATTAGCTCTGTGTTTTGTGCTAGTTAGCTGATGTTAGCATGCTAACACACTAAACTACAATGCTGACCATAGTAAATATGAACTGCTAAATATTAGCATGTTAGCATTGCCCCTGTGAGCATGTTAGCATGCTGTTTTAGTATTTAACTTAAAGTGCTGCTCACAGAGATGCTAGCATGGTTGTTGTGGGTTTGCTTGTTTATGATCAAGAGAAATGATGACAATGTTTCTTCATCCACCGTCATCTGTGAGCGCTTTTGTTGTCAGACGCCGTTAAAGGTGCAACATGTCACTGAATAGTCAGTCAATTCTGACGTCCCAGTTTGTCCACGATTGTCCTGGATTCAGGCTGCGTGTCCCGAGTCCCACGACAAATATCTGGAAAACAAACGTCCCAGTTTTCAACATTCACCACCAAATGTTCCCAGTTTTCACCACAATTAAAATAATAATAAAAATACTATTGAATTAAAAAATAAAAAAGGAGTAGAATCAATGTAGCAGGAGGGTCAGAGCGGTGGCCATCTTATGCGTACTGTTGCCTCAGCGTCCGATGCAGCGGCTGACTTCCATAAAAACTAGACCGACGTACGGCTGCTGGCGGACTCACTGAGGTGATGTTTTTTGCAGTAACGACTAAAAAGAGCAGTTGAGTAGAAACGTTACGAAGCCAGAGTCATTTTATTTTTAATTATTCTTAGATGGCCAGATTGCAATATACAAGTGTGTTTAGTTTTTAAAAGGAATCTAATTATACTACACCAATGCAATACTTGTGTTTTGTGGTTACGAGTGTTATTTAACTGATTAAAATAAACAATGTTTTGGTGGATTTTGGGAGACAAAACATTGTTTATTGTCTGCTGTAAATGGTGTTGAAAGGTGTGCTTCGGGTAGTTATATGGTCACCCTACTGTAACTATCACTTTACTGCCTTCTACTACCTTGAAGACATGAGTGATGCTTTTTTAGGGTGTCATCTGTACAAATATAGATTTTATTTGCAATTAACAAAAGCATATGTATACAGAAATGATCTGGCTTGTTCTCTTTTGTGGTAAGTGACTCTTGGTATCTGTGAGAAGTGATAATGAGGTCAGAGAAGCTGAACGTGGCTCTGTGCTAATTAGCCTAATAAGCAATTACATACTTTTCACATACTTGTCTCAATTTCACTCCTGAAACCAAAAGTGTTTCACAGATGATAGAATAGCAGGATGCCAATTAGAGAAGTGCTTGACAGATCTCAGGTTAAGTATTTGTTCGTGCTGTCCGGTCATTAAATAAAGATCAAATTAAAAAGCTGTGAGTGGACGAGCCGTAAAAGTAGAGGTGGAAAAACAGAAGACGACAGATGGCAGAGACGTATCGGTTCATGAAGACGTGACGCGTGCTTTCCTCTTGTCTTTCATCTCATGTCATTTGTTTGTTTGTCGTGTGAATGTCTAACGTTGTCCTCTGTCTCCATCGCATCCGTCCAACACGACTTCCTGCGGAGAAGCTGGTGTTGAAAAAGTGAAAATCTGTAAGTTTTTTTGAAGGCAGCACTGTTTAACAATGGCCCAGTTCCATTTTGGCAGAGTGCCCCCCCCCTCTCAGTCCCCCCTCAGTCCCCCTCACTTCCCCTCGGGCCGTCCCATATGTTACGAGAGGGGAAAGAGAGAGATCTAGGCTGCACCTCTGCTGTAGAGAGCGGGAGGAGGTCGATTTATAAACTCTTGTGTTGAAAGTTCAATCGATTTATCAGAGTAACAATCAACAGAACAGGGGGGGGGGGGTTAAAGGAATGTGTGATCATCCTGCATGGATTGGTGTGTGTGTGTGTGTGTGTGTGTGTGGTGGTGGTGGTGGTGATAGGGGGGGGTATTCTTGTGTGTCACTGCTCCAAATATCAGCACATCCATCACATCCCTCCACTACAGAGTATATTTCTCCCTCTGAACCTCTTGAAGAGGTAAAACTATTGTGTAGTTCTTAATAAAGAAGAAACAAAGACCAGAGAAATGTCAGAGAAAGAAATCAGTGTGAGTGGCGGAACATTATCTTCTTTGTCCCGAGCCATTAATCCTCTGACAACCACACACATTTATCTTTCAGTACAGAATTACTATTTTGTTTCTTTTTGAAAAATAGCTGCTGTTACAACGAACACAAGATACGGGACTCCGTGTAGAATATAACAAGTAAACTGTATATATAATTTACTATCTTCAATTTTAAAGCTTTTATTCCTGATAACTGTTGTGATTCTAGGATTAATAAGTGTGTGGTGTAGATATCTCTGAGGGAAGATGGTTACTTCAATGCTCTGTGATTCCGCCCTCGTCCTGTAAGGAGTGGTTAACCTTCCCCCCCGGTGTTGTGTTACACATCCACCCGTTAGCACGCTGCAGGCTGCAGGACGCCCAGCGTGGACTCGGAGGCCTGCACTGAGGCTTTGTTACAGTAATCGCTTCACATGGATGTAATAAAGCCATTAAACATGTTAACTATGGGGAGTTCACACTGTGAGAGGCTTCTGCTTTAGGCGGGAAAAACCCTTTGAATGTTGCACATCTAAAGGGAGCAACGCTCTGCTGATCAGTGTCCAGATGAAAACACTTTCTTTCTTTTGTTTTAGAATAACAATATTCACCAGGTTTTATTTTATTGTCATAAAGACTGAAATGTAATGCACCATTTGACTTTGTCAAGATACTGTCTAAAATGAGATCAAGCCTTTGATCTCTGAATGTGAGACGATTGTTTTAATAATTAGATACATTTTTGTATTTTAATGAATTCTGAAGCCATTAAAATAGTGAGCAAGTTGGAAAAATGATTATAAAATGATTATCTAAATCACAGTACCAGGTTCAAATTGTTGTTATGAAAATCACAATGCGCTTGAATGAAAAGATATCACATAACATAGAAGAGATGTGACATGAATGGAGCAAATGAATCAAATGATTTACACTAAAATAACAGCTCACATACAACAGACGAGCTCACAGTAAATAATAATAATAATTCAAAGTTTACTAAAATGTCTGGATGCAGATTAAAACCTGCTCTGGTGTGATTCATCGTTCCTCCTCCTCTGCATCAGCTGCTGAAGCTGCATGTGCTGCCACCTACTGTTCATTCTGCTGCATTACATCCAGGTTATTATGACTTTATAAAATGTATTCATTTCAAGTTTCCAAGAAAATAATAACAAAAACTAAACAAGCAAAAAAAGAAAAGCCCAGAGGACAATGGACAAATACTAAGAGATGAATAAGAGAACAACGAAAAGATAATCAATAAACGAATGCAAATCAAAATGACCGCTTTAACGTAGCTTCGTTGGATGAATCCTTAAATCCTTCCAGCAGTGACAGGATGTAGTTTTAGTGTCAGACTTCCTTCCTTCCAGGCTGTTGGTTTCAGTTCAGGACAGTTTGATGTGAAAATCAACTCTCGACCTTTAAAATGCAAAGAGCGTCCAATATATATCTTATAATCTGCTAATAGTGCTTCATAACTAAAGGTATACGTACTCATAAATAGTCATAATGCCTTATAACAATAATCACAACATGTTTTAAAGCATTTCATAATGATTCATAAGGTAAAGTATCATGATGCTACATAACTGATGGTAACTTACAGATTTGTATTTGCAAGGATCATAGTGTGTTATGATTCCCATTATTGTAATACATTATAATCTTTTGTATTGTGTTATTATCACTGTTATAATATAATGTTATGTGGTCATAAGTCACTATAAGTGATCATTGTTCGCATTAAGTAAAGTGGAAAAAATGCGATTAAATCTAAGCAGAGCAACACGAAACATTGTAAAATATCATAACGTATTACAACTATTATACTAAGATCCTTCAAACATAAAGGTATGGTGATTCTTCACCCTATCAGTCAATACATTGCTTGTTGTTGTAAAGAGTATGTATTAGTGCTCATAACTATCATATTACAGTGACCTAAGCTGATTATAATGCCTTATAAGTATTTCCATTAGTGCATTATGGACGTGGGTGTTCTAGAAAGTGTTACAAAAGTTTCTGCAAGTGATGAATTTAAAGGGCTTGATTGTCCATGTGACCCTGACTGACCCCGGTCTCATCTCTGTCCCTCTCAGGCCGCCTTCAGACGACTCAGGGATGCGTAACAACTCCGCCGGCCTCACCTCCACCCCTCCCAGCAGCCTCCCGTCCCAGACGCACCCCTGCAGCCCGCCGGACTCCGGCTCCTCCCTCACCCCTTGCTCCTCGCTGCCGCCCTCCGTGTCGCCCACCCTCACCGACGTCTTCGGCCTGCCCACCCCGCCCATGGGCAGCGGCGGCGCCTACAGCCTGAGCTCCTCGTGCGGCGGCAGCGGGAGCTCGCGCTCCCCGTCGCCGCTCACGCTCATGCAGCAGTCGGCAGCCTCGGGCAAGCCCTTCGCCTCCAAGCCCATGGAGCTGTGGAGCAAGCACGACGTGGCGGACTGGCTGGAGAGCCTCAACCTCGGGGAGCACAGGGACGCCTTCCTGGACAATGAGATCGAGGGCGCCCACCTGCCCTCACTGCAGAAAGAGGACCTGATAGACCTGGGCGTGACGAGGGTGGGCCACCGCATGAACATCGAGAGGGCCCTCAAGCTGCTGCAGGACAGATAAGCCTCCGAGGACAGCGGGGTGGTCCCTTTTACCGACCTTTGAAGAGGTCGGTCCCTTTTACCGACCTCTTCATCGGACATAATCTCAAGTCGACTGGGTAGAAGTTTTGTCCAAGCTGACGCTGCCTCTTACTGTCTTTTGTCCTCTCTCGTCCTCCGTCGTCCTCAATCTCAGTGCTCCGGTCTTGTCCGTCCCTCTTCTTCCTTCCACGCCGCCCTTGAGCATCAGGGGGATCATGGGACGACGGGAGGAACTGCAGGTTGGAGGAGGGGGGAGAGCGAGAGAAGAGAATAGCTGCTATGTCACATCAAGGAGAGCGGAAAGCAGAGGAGGCCAGGAAACACAGCTCTGGAATAATGAGTACTCAAACGCTGGAGGGAAAGAATACTTGTCTGGAAGTTTGTTCCACATAAAGACTCACCCAACTGCTTTGGAATACTGAAGACTTTTCCCGTGCACCCCGGTGTGGGTGCACGAAGAACCAGCTGAGCTGGTCGTTGCTCCTTTTCTATCTTTGCTAGAGTTTGTTCAGAGAATAATATTTCTTCACTAGAGTCCTACCGGAGTTATATTTCTGGGTGCATCTAAAGTTGTAGAGAAACATTTGAGATAGACTCCATTTTTTTTTGTTGTGCTTTTCACCTGTTTGTGTCAAAATAACAACTGTTTAAAATAGATACTGAACCACATCTCGTGTCCACACACACACTTTATGCACACACTGACATATAAGAAAACACACTGTTTTCACAGACACACACGCACCTAAAGCATGTACACACACACACACACACACACACACACACACACCGTTACTGCAATGGCCTTCTCCTGAGAGAGAGCAAAGCGTGGAGAGAGGTGGTCACCACAGGAGGAGCTCCGCTGGAGCGGGCCCTGGAGGGGGCCCTCGCCCAGTCTACACCCACCCAGGTGTCCACCTCATCGTAACGACGGAAACCGAGGGGAGCACACTCTTTTGTGTGTGTGTGTGTGTGTGTGTGTGTGTGTATGTGTGTCACTGGTTGACCCAAAATATCATTAAGGGCCAGTTTAGCTATTTCCATGGATCCGCTTTATAGGCCAGAGTTTAGGGAAACTAGAGCTGTTCTTTACCTTTGTACTTTACTTTGTCTTCATCCCGTCAGAGCTCCTTCCTCTTCACCATTAGCAGGTCAACACTCCACAGTAATGCTGATGTATCAAACACCCCGTGTGTTCGTGGTAGAAGTGGAGGGTTTTTTAGAGAGAGAGAGAGAGAGAGAGCATTTACAGAGACAGTTTCGACATTTTGGGGAAATATGCTTTCTTGCAGCGAGTTAGATGTCGTGTCTGTACAATATGAAGCTGGAGCTGGGAGACGATTAGCTTAGCATGAAGACTAAACTAAACTAAGACATAGTGGCCAAAAGTACAACTTCCTGGTCTGTCACATGATGCTATGGGGCCAAAAAATACTTTTTCCCATAGACTTACATTGGGAAACGTCCACATTAACCTCGCAGGTGTACTTCATGTTTTGTGCTAATTAGTAACTAAAATGGTGAACATTATACCTGCTCAAACATCAGCACGTTAGCATTGTCATTGTGGGCATGTTAGCATGCTGATGTTAGCCTTTAGCTCAAAGCAGCTGTACTAACTCTAACTACTACAGACTCAGTGCCGTAGCATGGCCGAAGTCTTTTAGTTTCATTTAAACTTCGTACAGAGCTAGCATAGCTGTTTCCTGTCTTCGTGCTAAGCTACGCTAAGCTAATTGTCTCAGCTTGAGAGTGTTATTGATCTTCTCTTCAAACTCTCAGCTGGATGATTAAAAAGCGTATTCTCCGAAATGTCAAACTATTCAAGTCTGTTGTTTGATAGCGTTTTATTGACTTTGAATCCAGTGTCAAATCCTTTTGGAGGCCTTTTTTAGCTTTCAACGATTTTAAATAACACAAGTGATAAGCAACCTAGTATTTAAGAACTCATAGGTTGACATTTAATGAGCTAAAGCTCCAGTTTTACCAGGGAAATGACGTGTTTTCTGTATAGCTAAATGAACATTTTGTACATTGTTCTTTGTTAATTAAAAAAAAAGAGCGAGGAGATTAAAGACTCAATAAGAGATTCGTTGGCATGAAGCTAACTGGAGCTTATTTCCAACTGGATCCCAAATGAACCAAACAGCACCCCAAACCGGAGCAGCGGTTTAGAGGAACAATTCTGTGATTCAAAGGGAAAATACTGTTTTAGACCGAAAACAGCCTTCAGCAGAGCGTCTTCGTCTCGTTAAAGAAGAAGGCTGGAGACGCAACACCGCGTTAACAAAGCTGTTGCAGACCGACACTGGCCGTTTCTTATCAACGTAGAGCAACCTCAGCCAGATGACATGAAAATCTTCGCCGAACCGTGGCTTCAGGGTTTTATGTCGAATTACATTTTTTAACGTAAGTCCACATTGTCCTGCCCTCTAACCGCTGTGTAAGAATGACCAGAGATCAACCTGACAGAGCCGGCAGATGTTCATCAGCGTGAGCTGTGAGATTAGAAAGAGATGGAAAAGAACTCCTGATCTGTTGCAGATGAACTTCAGTCCCTGTAACTAGACCGGACTATAAGCTTCTCCTAGTCCCGTATTCTTATCCAGTCTCACTGCAGCTCCAGCAGTAGAGACGGGGTTTAAACTTTCTCATTAAGCGTCCAATCTTAAACTAAAATCAGCATTTATAAAGCTGGACATGTATGTGTGTTTGCTAGCAATGAGTACAGGCTGGTCAGAAGTAGAAGTGCAGTATGTGTTGAAACGTGTATATAAGAGTGTTTAACAGGATAACAAAAATGTCTATTTGATTATATGTATAGCTCTATTAAAAGGTTTAGAGTTTGATTGATTTATAGTTGCCAGAGCTGACCTGACGACAACAGCAGTGGTCTCATCCGCCCCTTCATCCTGCAGAGGATGCCTTAAATAGCTCACAGTTCCCCTCCTCCACTATACCTGCACCACTGTCGGTTGTATGGCTCCATAAAGAGAGAAAGGAGCCCGTGTTTTTATCTCAAAGTAGATTCTTTCAGAGCACACCTAACGTGTGGTTCGATATGTGCTCGACAGTAACCCAACGTCTGAAATATGTATATATATATATATATATAGATATCTATATATATATATATATATAGATTTATTTGGTTTCATATCACACTCCGCGGCTTCATGTGTAGGTGCAGCTTTCGAGGAGACAAATGAAACATACACAAGCTCTGTGTTCCGTGAACATTAGCCGTACGGAGGCCGGCACGGGACAATGCTGCTATAATCCTGTTCCTGTTTGAACACGTGACCTATTTTAGAGGAAACGGCGACGTGTCGGAGGGGCGTAGAAAAGCACAGTATTTTTAAAGATTTGTATAGAGTTCTATGAAAATTTTATAGAGGTTATCTGAACAAAAGCTGTTCATCACTGACGCGTGGATTGCCAAAAAAAAATGAAATACTATATAGATTAAAAAAGATGGATATTATTAGACTTATGGGTTATGTAAGAAGCAATATTTATTCTGAATGAATCTCCTTGGTTGTGTTTTATTTTACCATTTTTAAAGTTACATATCATGATGCGATCACTTGTTTTCATGAAGTGTTGCCTAAAGTAGATACAGCATAGAAATACAATAGGAGTAGAACGGACATTGAACAGTTTTTATTGTGGTCATTTGAGTAGTACAAAATAAAATGGCCATTGTTTAAAGTTGTTATGTCGACGACACAAGTCAGTAAAGTGTTGTTGCAGCTCATGGATGGCTGGATAGTTAGCTAGGTAGCTTGTCTTTCTCCAGCTAAGTATGCTAATTGATGCTTTAATGCTACACTTGTTGCAGAAAATGGGCCAAACAGTAGTCACTCATCTCTTGATAGCAATGTTACACTTTGACAAGAGTGTGTGGAGGAAGCATTAGGTTGTTCAATTTGAGTCATTTAGGGGCTGGCTAGTTAGATTGCTAGCTTGCTAATTAACCATGCTTTAATGCTACGCTGGCTCCAGAAAATTAGCCGAACAAAGTTGTCACTCAAAACCTAACCTCAGTGAGTTTGCGACTGGGAATGTCCATTCTACTCCTATTTTATTTAGATGAGATACTCTGCTGTAGTAGACTGTAGTAGTCAAGTGACCACAAAAACCCAGGTATGTTCTGACAACCACCATCTGCCTGACTAGACTTCTCTCATTTCCCCCCCCCCCCCCCAGTTTAGAGTGTGTGTGTATAAACAGAGCAAAATGTGTACATTTAAAAAGATATATATACATCCGCAAGGCCATCATGGTAGAAAAGTATATGAAACCTATATATATGTAAACATACATAAATCCACCAAACGATTAGCGGTGGCGGTCGACTCCTTTATTTGGATCGATATTGTCACTAAGCAGATTTCTCTGTGGAAATGTAGAGCTGAGTAGACGTAGTAGGAATCCTTAAAGAGCATCACCGTGGTGTGGCGCTTCACCAGGCCATGCTTTAGGACAGGCATGGCTCACTAAACCCACTTCCACTCCCCTTCAGAACACTGCTCCCACCTTTATCATTGTCCAACATTCGGGTAACTGTTTCTGTTTCTGTTTCTTTCTTTCTTAATTAAATTTTTTTTTTTATCTCGCATTAATAGATTTTATTCTTTGATTAAGTCTTCATAGAGGCTAAGATGTTTTCGGTAAATTTGTGCAGACTTGTGTTCATGTTTTCTATGTTGCTGTAATTTTGTGCTACTAAATCATCATAGAGTCAACTAATTACTGAATTACTGAAATGAGAAGAGAGAGAATTTTCCTGTAACTGCACCCCCCCCCCCCCCCCTTTTAAATCCTCGACACTTCTTGTATGGCAACCAAAATTCACTGTAAGAAATAAATATAATATTGCACTAGTGTTGTTTTCCTCAGTCTTTACAGCAGCGTGTTGACGCTGGATGATTATCGGTTTGTGTAAAATAAACACAAGCGAAGCCGCCAAGAGATTCTGTGTGGAGGGTGGATTTGTACTGACATAATTTAGGTTTTTAAAACACTTTTAGTGCACAAATGTATATTTTAAATGCTTCTTTGTCTTTTTTCCAACAGTTTGGGATTATATTGAACCTATGGAGCTTCTAGTGTGACACCAGAAGAATTATAGAGGCAACAATTTCAATGACGGCCGTGTCTTAATGCATTACACC